CACGGCCCGCGACCGCGCCGTCCTGCGCAGCATCCTGCAGCCGTGCGGCCCTTCCGCGGAGCTGCCCGCCGCGCCGGAGAGCGAGGAGCCCGCCAGCGCGCAGGACGCAGGTGAGCGAGCGTGGCGCCTCCGGGCCCTGCAGGAGAGCCGCGCGCCCCCGGCGCTCGAGGGGCCCCTCGGCCTTCCTCGTCCCGGCGCTCTCCGGAGCGGGGCTGCAGTTCCCAGCATCCTGGCCAGGGCTGGCGAGAGCGGGCATTGCGGCTGGGGGGCCTGCGCTGCTCGGAGGGGGGCAGAGGGAGGCGCCCCCTCTGCTCAGCCCTGGGGTTGTGGTTGACGTTGATTGTACTAGCCAAAAGCCATGGCAGATGCATCAGATAAATTCGTATAGACAACCAAATGAAGGATTTCCACAATATAAAATATAAATAAATTAAAATATACCATGAACAGAAATTCCTGTTAAACTTAACTCTGAGTCTCCAGTGCGGTGCGTAACAATTTTGTCTAATCCTCTCTTCCTGCTCCTTTTTTGCTGCCAAATTAAGTACAGAAAAGTTATGTGTCACATGACTGTTCATAGCACTTAAAAGAACAAGAACGATTTCTGCCAAACTTCCTGTATTCATCTGGTAGCAACAGTTTCAAGAATCTCTCCCTGGGGTTAGTATATACAGGACAGATTAACATGTAACATTAACTGTTTCCGGTGTGATATAAACCACAAATATAGAATCTTTATTCAAAGGGCACCCTGGTATAGCACCCATCCGAAACTGTGGTTGACGTAACCGTAAAGGTGCTTCTTAAAGAGGGTGGTCTCAGTCTGGGCAGGAAGCCAGCTCCAAAGGTTCTGTTCTGTTCCCAAAGAGGAAACCCCTGAGAGTGTTTAGAGTCGTTAACTAATTGCAGCTCTTTTCTGGAGCCCATCCAAAAGAGCCAAATTTGAGCAGCCCCCATGGTCTGGGGGTGACTGTGGAGGCCTGGCCACCTCCATGGACTGGGCTGCGGGTCCCCCGGGGCTCAGTGCGTAACAGAAGCCCGCTTCTTCCCCTGGCTGTGTCAGACGGAGCCTTTGCCCCAGAGCTGCTGGAAGAGGTCGTGAAGCTGGAGGTTGAGGGCGTTGCCGCGGCGGAAGCAGGAGACCTGCAAGGGGCCCTGGAGAGCTTTGGCCGGGCCATCCAGCTGCTCCCTGCACGGGCCTCTGCCTACAACAACCGGGCGCAAGCCCTCCGCCTCCAGGGCGATGTGGCAGGTAAGTGAGCAGCCGAGGCTGTGCTGCCCCCGCTGGCCGGCCGGCCGGCCCACCCTGGCATGCTGCCGCTGCTGCTCGGCACCCAGCGCTCCTGGGCCGCAGAGGGGCTGGTGAGCCACGGGCCTGTCCCCAGGGCGGGCGTGTGGCTCGGAGGGAGGGAGGGAGGGAGCTGTGCTCGTTCTCCCTCTCCCCGGCTGTGCTGCCTGGCTGCGAGGCTTTTGCTACGGAGAGGCAAAGCAGGGGGTCACCTGTGCAGCCAAGAGACCAGCTTTGCTCTGCTTTTGCTCCCAGGACAGCCGCCTCCTCTTCATCATCATCTGGTGCGTTTATATGGATTCCCAGCCCTGCTGTTTGGCACTTGGGGTCTTTATCTCTCTGTGATGGGAGTTATTTCTGGAACAGTCAAGCACAGGTCCAAAGAAGCATTTTTGCAGGGCTGTGTGGAGTCTCTTCCCTGCTGCCCCCATTTAAACAGCAAGTGAATGTGCGGAAGCGAGTCCCATGCTGGAGCTGGGCTTCAGGCCAGAACAGGTGGAAGAGCTCTGCTTTGAAGGAACAGTGCTTAAACAGTGAAACCGAGAAAAGGTGTCATGTTAAATGAATTACGGCAGAGTAGATTCCAGGGAATGCAGGACCTGCTTCCCCTTAAAGATCAGCCTGATGGACCCCCAGCAGCTGAAGCGCCTTCCCAGGCTTCGTGGGAATGCCTGCGCTGTGTGTGCATGCGTGTCCCCTCCGCCCTGCTCACGGGAGAGGTGGGCAGGCGAGGCTTCCCTTCCACCTCTCCCCCGCCGCAGCTTTCCTCACCCCCTGTGGGCTGCTTTCCTCCTCTTCCTCCGTCACCCACTTGTCTCCCCCACCAGGTGCCCTGGAGGACTTGGACGTGGTGCTGAAGTTGAGCAAGGGCACCGGCCATGTGGCATGCCAGGGCCTCGTGCAGCGCGGGCTGATCCAGCGGCTGCAAGGGCGGGACGAGGAGGCGCGGAGGGATTTCGAGCAGGCGGCCCGCCTGGGCAGCTCCTTTGCCCGCCAGCAGCTGGTCCTCCTGAACCCCTACGCAGCCCTCTGCAACCAGATGCTGTCGGAAGTGATGAAGAAGCTGCTTGGCCCGGCCGAGGGGCCTCATCCAGAGCGCAGTGAGCGGTGCTGAGCCAGCCGCCAGGCAAGCCATGGAGCGGCGCTTCCGCCTGTCGTGGCCTCGGCAGGGAGGGCGGCTCAGTCCATCTCCCTCGGGCTCCCTGGAGCAGAATAAATGGTTCCAGTGCAAAGCCTCCTCCATGGACATTGCTTGGATGGGCTCCAGGGGGAGGGGAGAGGGCGGGAAGGCCTCTCCGGGCAGCAGGTCTCCAGCTCAGTCGTGTCCTGTGCACACGGCCACCCTCTGCAAGTCCGGCTTCTCTCCTGGCCTGGCCTTGTGTGCCCCATGAACCACTCCGACACTTTTTAAACATCTGTTGCTCTTATTTCTGCTCCTCCTATTTTCAAATGCAACACCCTGCCCCCACACACAAAATAAAAAGGGATAAACATAGAAAGGCTAGAGGTAAACATAAAGATCATCGCAAAAATATATCCAAACACATTGATTTACACCACTCTTTTGCATTTTTATTAGTTTTACAATATAAAATACAACTAAAAAGTAACTTACAGCTACAATAAAAACATAGAACATTAAACAAACAATTTAAATAAATCTTAAAGATACTGTGCCCCATCTCCAGGACCATGGGATACATGTTGAAAACTCATTAAAAAATGGTTTCAGGACAGTTTTCCCTCCCAAAATTGCAACAATTCTTGTGATAGTTCAAATCCTTTCCCTTGGGTCCCCTGTACCATGGGCACATATCTATACAATTCACCTACACCAGGACTAGGTACCATTTCTGTACAACTCTAAAAGTTTTATTTTATTTCTACTGACATACATTTTAATATCCTCTTCACCCAAATATTTCCCAATCTTCATTGCTAATGTTCATCCTCAGATCTGTTTCCCGTTGATCCTGTTCTTCTAACAATAACTTATAAATTTTACTTACTATCCCTTTCATCCACATATTAACTTTTCCCCCCTACAATATCTTCAAATTTAATGTAATCTCTGCATTTACCTCTTTTCTTCAAGCATTCTCTAGTCCAACATCCTAACTGAATTATCATATTTGAAAAAAAAATCTGTCAAGCATTTTTCTAGGCGGGAAAATTCTAATTTTAACCACAGTACCTTGTCAGGTTGTAATAGAATACCCAGTGCACGCCTTACTGTATTTGCTATAAACACAGCCTTATATTAGAAACACCCAGTCCTCCTACCTTTTGTGACCAATGCCATCTGTTTACACCTGTCCTCAGTTTTTCATCCTATTTATCCCACTCTTAATCAGGAAGGGGGGGGGAGATGGGGAAGGATGTGACACCTCCATTTCAAAGGCACGCCTGAGTGAGAGCACCCCACGCGTCCAGGTGAGCGTTCCCCAGAGCAGCCCTGCAGGAGAGGAGAGGAGAGGCGCTCGAGCGCGGGGGCGCAGGGGGCTCCCCGGACGGCGGCGCGGAGCTGGGCGTCTCCTCCGGGGCCGGGCAGGCCTGGCGGGGCAGTTGAGCAGCCCGGCAAGGGCCACCGAGAGCGCGGGCTGCGGGGGAGCCCCGGCCCAGCCTTGCCACGGGCGAGGCGCCCCGCGCTGGCGGCAGGGTGGCCGAGCAGAGCGGGCCGGGCGGGCCGGGCTCCGCGGGGGCGGCTGCTCCCCTCGGGCGCAGCAGCGGGGCGCTTCCGAGTTGGAGCGGGGCGCTTCCGAGTTGGAGCGGGGCTGGGGGGCGTCTGCCCGCCTCTTCGCAGAGGCCCGTGCCGAGCGAGGCGGGCCCATTTAGCGCTCCCCCTTGCAAAACAGCAAGCCGGGACCCCGGGCGAGAGAGGCTGCCGCGCGGAGGGCGCCTGAGCCAGCCGGGCAAATCGAGGGCCCCGGCCGCCCGGGAGCACGCGGGCCGCGCGCTCCCGCCCTGATCCGCCCGGCGCGGGGGGGCCCGGTGTCCTGCGCTCCCCAGCTGAGGCTGCGTCGGAGGGGGACGCCGCGCGCGCGCAAAGCGCCCCTCCGCGCTGGGAACCGTCCCAGACCTTCTGCTCCGGAGGCTCCCAGGGGCTCCGCGAAGCCCCGTGCCGGGCGCCCCCGCCGGACTCCGCAGCCTGGACGGGAGCCCGCCCGGAGCGCGGCGCCAAGGTCACGGCACAGCCGGCGGCCGAGCAGGATGGCTGGGCGCGGCGCGCTCTCGGCCCTGCGGTTCCTGCTGCCGCTGCTGCTGCCGCTGGAGACGCTGCTGCCGGCGCCAGGTGAGACGGGGGCGCCGAGGAGGGCCGCTCGCCCGCCCGCCCGCCGAGCCCCGCTCAGCTCTCCGCTCTCCTCCCGCAGGCGGCGCCGAGCCGGAGGCCGCGGGGGACGGGCGCGTCTTCTCGTGCCGGGCCGCGGCGCCCTCCCTGGCGTGGTACCTGGACGGAGTGCGCCCGCAGCGCAACGGCTCGGGTAAGCTGCTGGCCGCGGGCGAGGAGAGCGGCCGCGGCGCCTTCGAGGTGACCCTGGACCGCCAGCTGAACTGCTCCGCCACCGACCCGCGTGGCCGCGTCTCCAGCGCCTCCGTGCTCCTCAACGTGCAGTGTGAGGGGGGGGGGGGCGGTCTGGCGGGGCGGGCGGCTCCACTGCTGGCGTCCGCGGGCCTGGGGACTCCTCTGCCGGGAAGCCGGCAGGAGCAGCAGCGCCTTGCCGACGGCTCAGCCGCCGCCTGGGCTGTGCATCTGCCCGCTGCAGTTAAGCCCGAGCTGGTGAGGATGGATGCCGGCTACGCGGAGGCCAGGGAGCCGGGCCTGCTGCTGGTGCTGCTGGTGCTGGTCCAGGCCAACCCGCCAGCCAACATCACCTGGGTGGACCAGGACGGGCAGGTGATGGTGAGCACCTCCACCTTCCTCCTTGTGGACACCAAGACCTACCCCTGGCCCACCAACCACACGGTGCAGGTGCAGCTCAGCAGCCTGGTGCAGAACCTCTCCTCCAGCGCTGCCACGGACGTGGGCCGCACCCCCTCTTCTGTCCTGCTGCCCGGTAGGTCTTTGGGTACCCTCCGCTCCCCAGGGCCCTGCTCGCAGGACGGCCCCACTCCCACAGGCACTGCCCCGCTTCCTCTAGCCGAGGGGCACATGGTGGCCTTCACTGTGGGAAGAGCATCCAGGGCCTGAACCCCTGGCAAGCCTTGTGTGTGAGTGTGTGTGGGGAGGTGCTTCCTATGGGCAAAGGCCCTGAGAAGGCAGCATGCCCCCAAGGAAGGAAGAACGAGCTCTCCCGGCCAGCCTGGGGCTCCCCGCTTTCGAGCAAGCCTGAGGCACCAACAGCCCCCTTGCCAGAGCAGAAGAGTTCAGGACAGGGAGGCAGGAAGCAGCAGCAGCCCGCGAGCCCTCCTGCCTGCGCACCTGTCCTTGCTGGCTGGTCGGCGACCTGGCTCTGCTTCTGGCTCCCCCAGCTCTCCTGGACGCCCGCATCGAACTGCCCCTCCTGGCCCTCGTGGGAGTGAGTGTGGCGGCCCTGGGGGCTCTCCTGTGCCTTGGCGCCTGCATCAGCTGTGTGGTCTACCAGAAGGGCAGGAAGGCCGCAGGTAGGGGTGCAGGGAACCTGGCCGGGGGGAACTGGCCCACCCGGAGAGAACTGACCGAGGTTCCTTTCTTCTGCCTCCAGGAATTCCGCCCCCTGCACCACCACTTCCAAGGTTAGGTTCCAAGCCACAAGCTCCTGTTCTGGTGGTGGGAAGCGGCTTGCAGGGAGAGCACATGGGCTGCGCTCCGGCCTGGCAGCTGCGACCTCTCCATCACATCTGCTCTCTCACCAGGGACTCCGATGACCCAAGGCCAACAGCCACCCGGCTGCCACGGACAATTATGTCCCTCCCATCCAACCTGCAGCTCAACGACCTCCCGCCTGAGTCCAAAGGTGAGTGGCAGGAGAGCGGAGCTCGGGGTTCCAGCCTGGGGCATTTTCGCTTCGGGTCCCAGGGCAAGGCACCGAGAGCCGCCCTGCTCCACACGTCTTTCCTGCCTCAGCCCAGGTCAAGGCCAGCGATGCTCCGGCAGAGCAAGAGGGCCGCTGCGAACTGGAGGACAACCTTGCTCTCAGAGGCAGAGGTAGGAGGGGCAACTTCAGGGCCGCAGGGAATGCGGAAGCGGGGGGGGGGGCCAGCACCATTCCCGGGGCTTTGGCCTGCTCTGCTCTGCAAAGCAAGGGGCACTGGGACAAGAGGCGGGCAGCGGACTCAGAGCAGACAGATGGACACGCGTGCTTTTTGAAAGAGGCCTGGTTAAATTCCGAAGACTTCTCAGGCAGAAGCTCTGTGTCAGCAGCGACCTGCCTTAGAACATTGGGCAGGGGGAGCCCCTACAACGCCCCCCAGTCCCTGCCAGCACAGCCCCCAGTGGCCGGCAGAATCAATGCTGGCCATATCCACATATGCTCCTGTGACTCCGGGGGGGAAGCACTGAATCACTCGACTCCGAGCACTGGGCGTCTGCTTCGCTCGGTGCCTTGCCTGTGCCCACCTGGGCCCGCGCAGCATCATCCTGGCCTGGTGCGCTTCTTTAAAAAGAGAAGCTGCATTCCGACACCCGCATGCAGCCGGCATCAGTGCACGCCAGGCGCCCAGGAACATGCCGAAGCAGTGGCCAGTGGGAAAGGCACTTGGGCTGCCTCCCAGCGCAGAACGACCCGTCTGTTTGTGCAGGACGGGGGGCAGCTTGTCTGGGCAGTTCCACAGCCTTAGTGGGGGGAGCCTCTTGCTGCAGGGTTGCCCCTGGAGCCTTCTGCACACCACCCGCCTCCTGCGTTGTCCGCACTGCGAGCAGCTTTCTCTGGCCCTACAGGTCTCGGCCAGTTCCCGCTGGTTGGATATATCTACAGAGCCTCCAGTATGAGCAGCGATGAGATCTGGCTGTGAGGGCTGCCACCGCACCCACAAGCCGTGGGGCAGAGGGCAGCCCTGGAGAAGCAAAGGCAACTGGCCGACTCTCCAGCCCTGCAGGAACCGCTACGGTCTTGGGAGGAGCCTCCAGAAGCCGGCTGGCCGAAGGACAGAAGGCAGCTGCTCCCCAGGCCCCAGGAAGGCCCCGCTGGCTTCCCAGGCCCCAGCTGTGCCACGGCGCCCCCTTCCAGCCAGGTGTGGCAGTGCACCTCGAGGCGCAGGAACGGCGTGCCTCCTGTTCGCGGTGCGGTGGCCGGCGTCGCTCTGCCACCTTCTTCTGCATGGCGGTTGCATGCCTGCCCCCTCCCACGCCAGCCCCCCAGGGCGGCCTGCACCTGCATGCGGGGCATTCCCTGGCAGCTCAGGCCCCCTCCGTGCGCTGCGCTGCCCCATCTTGCAGCCCCCTTAACCAAGGCCTGACGTTTCGCAGCTTCTGGACTTTCAAAATAAATGGCTGGGATTCAGGTGTCAGCCCTCCTCTTTGCCCACGTGAAAGCGACATGAGGAGGAGGAGACTCGCCCCCTCCTCCTGCCAGGGGCATCTGCGGGCCGATAGACGGGACACGACCCTCCTTCTGCGGGCTCCGTTTAACGTAGCCAGTAAGAAGGTGAAGGATGGAGAGCACAACAGATTCCGCTGTCCTTGGGCAGGGCTGGCCATGCGTGGGGAGATGGACTGCGGCCGGAGAAAAGGCTTCACTGGCCCTTGACCCAGCCGCCCACCCTCAGGGCCAGGACTGGTGTGCTGCAGCCCTTGCATCTTAAGGACTAGGAGCACAACACTGAACTCTGTACCAGGCTTCTTGTCATACACGAGCACTTTTAATGGAAGAACAGTTCTCATGCAGGCTTGCAGGTAAGTCGCTTCAAGCACCCAACATCACCAGAATGCCCTCCGGCAGTTCCAGAGCAAAGCAGTCATCCTCAGTGCAGGACTCTGGCCCTCGCTAAGGCCCGGGGAACCCCGGAGGCCACCTGTAACCGTCCGTGCCCCACAGGAAGCCTGCCCCAGCAGAGCATCTCTGGCCCAGCTCAGCAGTTCTCCTAGTCCGCTCCCTCCTGCCACAGGTGAGTGCCTCAGGTGAAGTTCAGGACGTCTGCCTCTGCTGCCTGTAAGGGGGTGTTGGGGGAAGGGCTCGCAGCCGCCTTGCCCTCAGCCAGCGCCTTGAAATGCTGCAGGGGAGGGAGGGAGAGAGAGAGCGCGCGCGCGTGCTCCTGCTCCCCAAAGGGCGGGTGGTGGGCAGCTGAGATGCAAAGCCGCTCTGCACTGCCCGGCTACGCAGGGTCGCCAACCCCCGTGCCGCCCCCCCACATGGCTCCTCTGCGCAAGGCTCTCCTACCTGTGAGTTTTTGAACTCTGAGTAGAGAGAGAAGAGGGTGTGCAGAGGCTGGATGTGGTCCTTGTAGACAGGAATGTCCAGCACAGCTGCGGAGAAGACACCCGCCCCAGGCAGAAGCTGGTTAGCTCGCTCAGGCAGCCCCAGGCCTGGCCCTGGTAGGGCCAGGGGCTGCAGGCCCAGGGCCATGGCCTGGCCTTTTGGGGGCAGCCCATCTGTTACAGCCAAAGGCCCCCCGATTCTGCCCCGGCATCGGATGAGGCCTCTCGAGAGTGGCAGGCAAGGCCGGGCATGGGCACGGGCAGGCAGGACCACTCACCGCAGATCATGTCTGTGTATTCGGCCAGGCCGCAGTCCATGTCTGCAGTGGGAAGACTGACCTGGAAGGCAGCGGGCGAGCGATCAGGAGAAGCTCTTGAAAGGCTCGTAAGCCCCCACTGAGCTTCTCTTGATGAGCGCAGCCCACCGCAGCCCGTCCTGGGCAGGGTCCAGCAGCGGGTGGAGCCCAGGGAGGGGGGACAGGCCTCTGCACCTTTCCCAGCAACTCTTCAAACTCTGGAGACCACTCCTGCATCAGGGTGTCTATATCCGGCATGGGCCTGCAAGAGGGAGCACCGGCAGCCTGAGCAAATGCCTCTGCGGCTGCGAGGGGAGGGGCGTGCTGTGCAGCCAGGCCCCCCCCACCACGCAGAGCCCGGGAGGGGCTGCAGGCGGGCTGGGCCTGGACTGTGCGGCAGCAGCGGCCCACCTGGCATAGTGGACGGTGGCTGGGGGCTTGCAGCGGTGGAGCTCGCTGATGCTCTCAATCCAGCTGTCGATGGCTTTGGGGTTCTTCTCGGCATTGTCCAGGCTCTTCACTTTAAGCTGCTGCTGGAAAGACAAGCGCGAAGTTTGCCCCCGGTGCGCCTCGGCATCCGTGTCCCTGCGCTGTTCCATGGGGGCGGTGTCCCTGTCCCTGCTTCACACTTACGGACACGTTGTGCTGCTTGGAGTTCTCGGTCAGCCAGAGGGAGAGCACCGTGGGATCCGTCTGCTTGGTCGATGGCTCATCCAGCACCAGCAGACCCAGGTTATCTGGCTTGCCATCAGGACGCGGAACCTGCAAGGCAGAACCCAGGGACCCATCAGGGGACACCGCACCGTTTGCTCCATTCGCCTTGGAGCAAATCAAGCAGGGAGCAAGTGCCACGGGGAATGACAGCAACCCTGCCCGCCTGCCAAGGAGCCCAGGAGCCCTCTGCAAAGCAGCTGCCGCAGAGACAGCCTCCACGGGAGCGCCCAGTGGTGCCTCCCCTAAGAGTGATGCCTAGCGTCTCTCTCGCAAGCGGGGCGGTCCTGGGTGGAGACGGAGCGCATCGGAGCAAGTGCTGCAAGGAAGTCGGGTACCTTTAAGAAGGCATCAATGTCTCCCACAGCCGGAATGAAGTCTGGAATGAAAGGCTTCAGCTTGTACTCCAGATCAATCATCTGGGAGGAATACCTGCAGAGCAGACATCACAAACTTCTAGACACTGGGAAAGAAGTGCCCCTACCCACCAGAGGGCCAGGACACCCCCTCCCGCACCGCTCACCTCCGGATGTACTGGAAAAGCTCTTTTACCTCCAGAGAGACTGGCAGGTAGTCGTAATCTGCGGAGTTGTATGCCCTGCCAGCAGTATTTTAAGGAAGAGCAAGCAAAGTTTGTGTTGAGCACAACACAAGAAAAAAAAATCTTATATGTCTAAGCAAAAGTAGCAACTACTACTCAACTGTTGTTGTTATAAACATACATTAAGATTACAATGCTATGCATGTTCAGACACAAAAAGCCCACACTTCCCAGCATTCTGGGAGCTACAGGGCTTGTCTCTGTTCAGGCATGCACAGGACTGCAGCCTGATCGCATGGTCTAATCTGGCTCTGAAAGGCCTAGGAAAGATGGCAAGACAGGCCGGCTCTCCAGTAATGATCACACACCACAGTGGGAGGGCCGGCCACTGAACGGCAAGCAGATTGTTCTGGAGCTGCCTTTGCACTGATCCAACTCTGCTCTTCTGCTCCTGAAACTTTCCAGGGATCCCAAAATGCTGGTGGGTGGGGGAGGAAAAGGCCGGTGTGGTACAGGCTCTCCCTTGACACCGTTGATGCTCCTCAGCCAAGTCCTGGGGCCAGGATGAGTTCAGCACAGTCAGCCACACAGAAACCAATCAGCTTCCACACAAGCAAAACACACTTGCTTGAGAGCTGCTTCTGAACAAGCTGACACCCCAGGACCCGCTGCCCTTCCGCCACCCAGTGCCCCAGCTGCGGGATGGATCTGGTCAAGAATTCCTGGCCTCCCGCTTAGCAAATACCCCTCCAGAGGAGCGCCGTGCTCTTCATCGTCGTCGTCATCATCAGAATCTGTTTCTGAAGAGTCGTCGTCGTCCTCCTCCACCTCATTTCCGCTGAATCGCTGCTGGGACCCCATTGGAGCCCCCTTTTTCTCCTGCGAGGGGAGGGGAGGGGAGGGGAACAAGCGAGAGGGTGAGAGTCCCCTGCGGGCCAGACCCCTGTGCCCCCACGCCCCCGCCCGTGGCCGGGCTGCTGGGGCCAGCTGCCGCCTGGGCCTTGCTGTGGCTGCCCCCGCAGGGAGGCACGCGGAGGCGTCCGCGGGTACCTTCAGGATCGCCTCGTCGTCGTCGTCGTCGTCGCTGCTGTTCTCGGCCAGGCTCTTGTGGTGGGAGCGCGCCGGCCGCGGGCCTGGGAAGGGTCACGGGGGGGAGAGCAGCGTCACGCGGCCGTCCGGGCGGCCGCCGGCTGAGCCCCCGCCGGGGAGGGGGGGGAGGGAGGGGGCCCCACCTGGCTGCAGGGGGCTGGGCGCGTAGATGCTGGCCACGTCCTCCGCCTCGTTGACGTCCAGGCTCTCGTCGTACGGCTGGTTCTCCACGAGGCGCGTCTGCAGGGACAGGGCGGCGGCGGCGGCGGCGGCCGGGGGGTCCCCGTCGTTCAGGGAGCCGAGGGGGCCCAGGCTGGCGGCAGCGGCTGCTCCCGATGCGGGGCGCGGCCTCGCGCAGGTGCCCCCCCAGACCTCCCCCGGGCCTACCTGCAGCTCGGCCTCGGCGGGCGGCGGCGGCACCCCGGCCATGTCGCGACCGGGCGGCGGCGGCACGGCGGGCGGGCTACGGCCACCCCGTCTCCATGGAGACGGGAGCATCCTCCCGCTCTCGCGAGAATTCGCCACGCCGCCAAGCTGGGGCCCCGAGCGTGGTGGGTTGGCGCCCCCTGCTGGATGCGCCCGCAGGACGCAGGTGGGCGGGTCGGGGCCTGAGGGCCTGCTGGCCGGACGTGGGCGGGGCTGCGCGTGCGTAGTGACGTCATTTCCGCTTGGGAGACGTGGCTCGGGGCCGCCATCTTGTGTGGAAGCCTCGGCAGGCAGCGGGAGCCGAGCGGGCACCGATCGCCGCCGCCATGGTGAGTGTTTGCCCCCCTGCCCGGGCGCCCCCTGGCCTTGCGCGGCCCGGCGGACCTGGCGCCGCCTCGCTTTTCAGTGTGCAGAGCCGGGCGGGCCTGGGGCCCAGAACGGCCCCGGGAAGGCCGGCCGCCGCCGCTTGGGGGGCGCGCCGCGGCGCCTCGCGGGGAGGCAGGTCTCTGGCCGCGGCGCGGTGTCCCCGGCGGGGCCGCGAGCGGCCGCCCCGGCCCTGGGGCGGGAGGAAGGGGCCTGCGGCGTCCCCGCTGCTGGCTCTGTCTGCCGCCGGGCGCGGGCAGCGGTCCGCGGCGCCGGGGCGTGTGGCGGGCGACGGCGTTCTGCCGCTGCAGGGCGCACCGGGCCTTGGCCCGGGCACGCGACCCGGATAGGGCGCGAAGGGCGAGGCCACGGGCTGGTGAAGCCTCGTCACCCTCCGGGGCGGCCGCGGACACGGGCTGGAGTGGCCTTTGCGGGGCAGCTTGTTCGGGCGGATTCCGCGCTGCCCCTGAAACCGGCTGAGTTGGGGCGACTGGCTGCGGCGGCGGCGGCGCGTTGCGGTGCGTTCCCTCGCTCCCCCGGCCTGCGCTTCCGTTCCCCCGCGGCCGGGGCCGCCGCGCCGCAGCGAGAGGCTCGGCTGGGCTGGGCTGGGCTGGGCTGGGCGAGCGTGGCCCGTGTGGGGCTGCCTGGCTGGGTGGTGGCGTTGCCTAAGCCCGGCATCGCTTCCAGGAGGCCAGGAAGTCTTCGGAGTATTGTGCAAGGGAGATTGTGGCCTGGAGGAGGCAGCCCAAGGGTCGGGCACTACACTTTGCTCCTTGCGCACAAGCCTCCTGCCCTCACCGCTGTCGGAGCGCCTCTTTTCCGTGTCGGCTGATAGCAGCAGCTGCGGATCTGCATGAATCCGCAGAACGTTGTCTTAGAGGGTTCCTGTTTACGCGCACTGGGCTGCCGTGCCTCTCTTTGCTGGGCAGACTTTGAGGAAAATCCAGAAACTGTAGCTGTTCTTGGAACCCAGGTGTTTGGATCACGTTGCTCGATTTTGCATGGTCTGCACTGGCTTCCTGTTCACCGCTAGACCCAGTGCAAAGTGCTTTAAATGGTTTGAGGGCAAGTGACGTCGAGTGTCATCATGCCTCTCTGGTACCCTATTTTAGCTTACATATTAGGGTCAGCCACAGAAGCCCGGTTTGAGGGCCCACCAAGAGCAATGATTAGGTAGACAGGCCCAAGATGGGACCTTTTCAAGCTTGGGGGTGGGGGAATACATTCAGGCCCTTTGGAAAAACTTAGTTTTGGTTGTCCATATTTGATAGTAGGTGGTCTATTACATTGCTCCGGGTACTTTGTTTTATATAAAATGGACTGTGCTGAAGGAGTTTTAGAGACGTTATTTTTATTTTATGTAAAACATTGTATCTTGCCATATCCAGTTAGGGCTTCTAGATGGCTTTCATAAATGTATGTATCTATAAAACAACAACTGGTTGAATGTTTTGTAACTTCAGGACTGATAGAGCCTTTTCATTGTTTCTGTTTTTGGATTATTCAATACTTTGTTTTCAGATGTATACAAACAAAAATCAGAATAAGACGGTTGGTTAATGGAGTCCTTGATTTTGTAGGTGCTGTTGGCAGCAGCCGTCTGCACAAAAGCCGGGAAGGCAATTGTCTCACGCCAATTTGTGGAGATGACACGGACCCGCATTGAGGGGCTTCTGGCAGCCTTCCCAAAGCTCATGAACACGGGGAAGCAGCACACCTTTGTGGAGACAGAGAGTGTGCGGTATGTGTACCAGCCAATGGAAAAACTGTACATGGTGCTGATCACCACCAAAAACAGCAACATCCTGGAGGACCTTGAAACACTCCGACTCTTCTCTCGAGTGGTAAAGCTCCATTTCTAAGCTTGGTTGTTGACGCTAGTGGTGTTGAGGGAGAGTTGCCTTTTTAGCGCCCCCAGAAGGCTTGATTGGCTATCAGACAAAGTCTCAGGCTGCTTGTGTAAGGTCTGCTGCTTCTGGTCTTCGCTTGTGTCCTTTCGTACTGAACTGATACTGCCGTGTATGTGTGAAGTGGGGAGGATGCAGTGTCCAGCTGCTAGGTGCCTGGTGGAGGGGAGCAGCTCCTTCAGCTTGGAGAGCCAGTTCTTCTGGAGGAAGGCCTCTGGGTCAGTGAAATCCAGCTGGAAACTTGGTGGGATGCTTGTGGGGGAGTCGTGACAAAAAGGTGTTTTTTTTTTCTTTGACTTCGTTCAGATTCCTGAATACTGTCGAGCCCTGGAGGAGAATGAAATCTCTGAACACTGCTTTGATCTGATATTTGCCTTTGATGAGATTGTTGCTCTTGGCTATCGGGAGAATGTCAACCTGGCCCAGATCCGCACTTTTACAGAGATGGACTCTCACGAGGAGAAGGTCTTCCGGGCTGTCCGTGAGGTAAAGCGGAGTTTTGTAGCATTGCTTGTCAGCTTCTCATGTATGAGGTTGGGGTCACTGGCTTCTTGATTCACGTTTCTTTAAAAAGACATGTTGGGTCACCTCTCGCCCTTTCCTTTTTCTATTGAGACACAAGAGCGCGAGGCCAAGGCTGAAATGCGCCGGAAAGCCAAGGAATTGCAACAAGCCCGCAGGGACGCCGAGCGCCGGGGCACCAAAGCACCCGGCTTCGGAGGCTTCGGCAGCTCAGCGGTGTCAGGAGGAACCACGGCGGCCATGATCACCGAGACCATTATTGAGGCGGAGAAGCCAAAAGTGACTCCGTTGCCAACCAGGTACAGCAGTTGTTTTGGTTGCGGGGCCTTGGGGGGCACTGGCAGTGTGCTTCCAGGTGGGAGCGGAGAGCTCGTGGGCCTCTGCAAACTCTCCTGCACTTTTGTGGCGAGAAGTCACTTTCCAGTGGGGTCTCTGGGACTTTGTGCCACCAGAGGCAGTGCTTCAGCCTGGACTTTTCGTGGGTTTCTTGAACTCCTAGTTGTAGGAGGCTGCATTGGAAGTTCCTGGCATGCTTTCTGCCTGAGGAGCCCTCGTGGTCTCGAGTGGGCCCGGTGATCAGTGCCCTTGACTTGCGCTTAATGTGATGTTTCTTGTGTGGGCACCGTCTGGGCCGGGGCTCCACCGCAGCCACACGGGCTCTCCAGAGCCTTCTATGGCCTCTTGCTGTGGACAAAGAGCAGCACTGAAGGCCGTGCTTTGTGCTGTTTGCTAGGCCGTCGGGTTCAAACAAAGCGCTCAAGCTTGGCATGAAAGGGAAGGAAGTGGACAACTTCGTGGACAAGCTGAAATCCGAAGGAGAAAACATTGTTTCCTCTTCCGTTGGCAAACGTTCTTCGGACGCAGCCACTGTTCTTGCGCCACCCATCAACATGGAGAGGTGGGTGCTCGTGTTCTGCTTGGGAAAGCAGCTGTTTGGCTCCGGAAGAGTCCCCAGGCATTCCAGTCCAGCCCTCCTTCCCGGGGACCTGGGCCCCTTGCTGCTTCCCTAGGAGCCTCCGTCACCTGGGGTTTCCAGCAGATTCCTTGTAGGCACCTCGAGGCTCTTGCGTCAGTGAGACTTTTCTTTTGGGGCTGAAGATGCGGCATGCAACAGGAGGCAGCAGCGATTCTGTCCTGAACCTCAAGGACTCAGGAGGGCTGGGTCTGGAAAGGAAAGTGAGCTGAAGGATGGAAAGAGTAGGTGGCCAGGCTGGATGGCAGAGTGGCGACTGAGAGCCCGTAAGACCCCCTGTCGCTGTGCGAGGGTCTGGAGTCGCTCCCTGTCTTGGTTGCCGTAGTGAGACATCCAGGGGTCCTGCTTTTCTCTTTAGTGTGCACATGAAGATAGAGGAGAAGATCTCGCTGACCTGTGGCCGGGACGGGGGCCTGCAGAACATGGAGCTGCACGGCATGATCATGCTGCGGATCTCGGAAGAAAAGTTTGCCCGGATTCGCATCCACGTTGAGAATGAGGACAAGAAGGGGGTGCAGCTCCAGGTACGGCTGCTGCCCACAGTCCGAGGTGTGGCTGGCAGAGCAGGAGGCTTGCTGTGCGCTGCACATGGTGGCTGCCACAGGCTGGGTGGGGTGTTGCGTCGAGCTGTGTCCAGGCTGTGGCAGGCCCTCCAAGAGCAGCGCTGTGGTTTTGGCCACCCGTTCTTCTGCTTCTCTGGTTGATGAGCGTCCCGGCTTTTCTGCAGTGGGCTGAGGCGCTGCTTTCCAGGTCTCGGATGGTAGTCTGAGAAAGAGGGGTGAAGGGCTGCCCCGGAGCTTGTGCATAGCCTAGCTGTGTTTGTACAAACAACACACAAAAGATGCGAGGCAAAAGAAGCGGTGTTTGTACCGAAAAGCCTCCACGTATTTGGCAAGTCAGCATTCTTGGTTTAGCCTGGTGTGCGGAAGCAGCACTGCCTGGGAAAATGCAAATGTTCTGTTGAGGATATTTTTTGCAGAGGGGGATTTTTGCTTTTCCTGATCTAGAGCTGAGCTTGTGCTCCCCCATTTTTCCTTCCTAGACTCATCCCAATGTTGATAAGAAGCTTTTTATATCGGAGTCCCTGATTGGCCTGAAGAACCCAGAGAAGTCTTTCCCAGTCAACAGTGACGTGGGGGTGCTGAAGTGGCGGTTGCAGACCACGGAGGAATCCTTCATGCCATTGACAAGTGAGCACACAGGGAGGGTGGGGGCTGGACTGACGGCCCTGTTTCCAGGGCGGGGGGGGGGCGGTGCACGCCCTGCAGCGGCCGGCGGGAAGAGCCCGTCCCGGGGGGCTCCTCGGAGAGCCACCGCTGGGGCGTGCTCGCGTGACTGAAGGGGTGCCTCCTTGTCGTAGTTAACTGCTGGCCATCCGAGAGCGGCAGCGGCTGCGACGTCAACATCGAGTATGAGCTGCAGGAGGAGGGCCTAGAGCTGAATGACGTGGTGATTGCCATTCCCTTGCCGTGAGTAGCCGTCGCGCCCCCAGAGCCCCGGCCCCCCGCCAGCCAGCCTGTCACACCCAGTGAGTCCCCACGGGCGAGGGGACCAACCCGCTTTTCCGCCCGCAGGTCTGGAGTGGGCGCTCCTGTGATTGGGGAGATAGACGGGGAATATCGCCACGATGGCCGGAGAAACATCCTCGAGTGGTGTCTGCCTGTGATCGATGCCAAAAACAAGAGTGGCAGCCTGGAGTTCAGCATCTCTGGGCAGCCGAACGACTTCTTCCCCGTCCATGTCTCCTTCATTTCCAAGAAGAACTACTGCAACATCCAGGTGAGTCTCAGGCAGAGAAGGGAGCACGGTGGGGGCCCAGGTGACCTCCCCCCCGCCCTTCTGGAGGGAGCCCCGTTCATCTGCGCCGTCCGCCCGGAGCAGGCCCCTTCGGCAGTGGGAGGAAGCCCTCCCTGCCCAGATGGGCGCGGGGCCTGCTGCTCTCTGCACGGGGTGAGCAGCCAGCGTTGGGCCCCTGGCAGTGGTGCAGCGCAGGCAGTGCGGCGGGTGCTGGCAGGGCTCGGCAGCTGGGGTCACGGGGTCCAGGGAGGCCGGCGCTGGGTGGCTGCGCTGTGCGCCCGCCTTGGGCCGCCTGCATGAGGACGTGTTGGCGCAGCGCGACTGCACGTGTGCTTCCTGGGTCCGTCACGCTGCTGCTGCTTCCAAGCGCGTCCTGCCGCGCCGAGTGTTTCCCGGGCGCACGTGTGTGTGTGGCTGGGGTGGAGCACGAGCCCCATGCCCTGGAGCCCGGCAGCAGGAGGCCTCTTCCTCGTTCACCTGTGCGGGTCTGTCTCTCTGCAGGTTACCAAAGTGACCCAGGTAGATGGGAACAGCCCGGTCAGGTTCTCCATGGAGACCACCTTCCTCGTGGACAAGTATGAGATCCTGTAGCTGCTCCTGCAGGGAAGGGGCAAGCGGCAAGCGAGACTGAGGCGGCGGCCGCTCTGTGTCGGGGCTGCTGCCCTGCTGCTTTGCTGCCATGGCTCCCAAGGGCACGGCCGTTGCAGCAGGGAGAGGCTGCTTGCTTCTCCGGCACAGCCGGGCTGACCGGGCTGGCTCCTCCTTCCCCATGCTGTAGTTCGTCGCTGGCATGGCACCCCTTCCACACACACTCTTTCCCGAGCACTTCCTTCTTGTTCATGGCTGCTTTTTTCTGCCCCCGGCAGCAGGCGAGGGAGACCACGCTCTTAATGCAGCAGAAAAGCTGAGGCCACCCAGCTCCTTTGCCAGTAAATTCGGTCCTGGGCAGGTGTGCTGGGAGACATCCCTAAGTGTGCAGCTCACTCCTGGGTAATCTGGTTCCAGGCTCCTTTCCGGAAGCCCCTCCGCTCTGCCTTTGCTGCCCTGGAGCCACTGCCCATCTCCCTGGCCCCTTCTGCCCGGGAACCAGTTGGAGCCCCCCTGCTGGGGAAGAGCAGCCACCTGTGCTGCCAGTGGCGTAGCCATGCGCTGGTTTGTGCCCGCCTGCTGAAGAAGCCGCCAGCCTCTCCTGCCCTGCCTCATTGCTGTTGCGGCCCTTTCCGGAGTGTCCTGTGGATGGGGTGGGACAGCCCTGGGCCATGGGCAGCGATGGTGAACCCTGCCGACCTCCGCTGGTTGCGCGAGGGGTCCCCCTGATTTTTAAACTGGGGTTCAATTTAGTTCAAACATCAGATGAGATTTTTTTCCTTAAAATTACATGGGGGTGTTATTTAAATAAGGTTTTATAACCCTGTAAAATAATGAGCTAGGGCTTATAACACATTCCAATGTACACAAAAATCCCTGCTTCAGAATCCAATAAAGTGTTCTGAGAGGAGGCCTGTGGCACAGCCTTGAAGCGTGGAGAGGATGGAGGCGGGCTTGACCTTGCGGCCGTGGGTGCAGTGCGCCCAGAGAAGAGCGTGTGGTACGGTGTCCCAGCAGGCTTCCTGTGGACAAGTCAGCTTTGCTGGGGGGCGGGGGCATTGAGAAAGGGGGCCAAGAGCTGTGAGAAGGATGCTCAAGACTCGGCCTCTGTCTGAACAGGTCTGGACTCTGGGCCGCGTGTCCTGTGTGGCTGCCCAGCGGCCCCATCCGGCTCTTGCTCTGCTTCGTGGGAGATTCCTGGAGTGGCCGGGCCTGCTAGGCAAGTGCAGGGCACCGAGCCTTCCGGCGTGTCTCTTTCTCTCACCCTTCGGCCGGATATAGGTGCGGCACTGGGTCCAGGCAACGTGGGGATGGGGGGCAGTGTCAAGCCCCGCACTCTGTTCACCCGGAGCCCACGAGACAGGAGGGCAACAGCGCCCTCCGGCCCGTGCTGCACAGCAGCTGGCGCACGCAGGTACACTGCTCCTGAGAGTGGAGGACTCGTGGCCACTGACAGCCGCCTCCGTGACTGTTCAGCCCCCTTTTAAAGCTGTCCAGATTGGTGGCCGTCACTCCATATTAATTAATCAATTAAAACATTTCTATGCCGCCCCATTTGCCGAAGCCTCGGGGCGGCTCACAACATAAAGTTAAAATACAAAAAATAACAATATAAAATAAGTCTTGTGGAAGGCAAGTCCATAGTTTGATGATGAGCTGTGTGACGCAGGCTTCCTCTGATCCATCCGGAATTTCCCACCAAGCAGCTTCATGGGAATGATCTCTTGAGTCTAATACAGAAGAAAGAGAAAGGTGTTTCTCGGCCACCCTTTCCACACGATGCAGAATTCCATGTCTTTATCATGTCTCTCCTGGCTCACCTTTTTCTAATCTCAACAATCTCACTTGTGACTTTTCCTTTAGAGTAGTTTATCGAACCTTTGATCATTTTAGTTGCCCTTACTTGCACTTTTTTTAAAAATGGGAACAATCGTGCTGTTCACAGGATTCCAAATGTGTTCACCCCATAGATTTCTGTAAGAGGACAATACTAATCAGTTACTTTCCATTCTTCTACTTCGGCTTAACATGGAGTTTGCCCCCCCCCCCCCCAGCCACTTCACGTTGTCCTGTCCCCCACGTCCCCCAGATCAGTGCTCATGACCCTCCACAGGAGGTTTCCTGCTGGTCTGTGGGGGCCACATCCCACTAATGGCCAGCGTGGGGGCTGGCTGTGCTGCACCACCTCTTTCTTTGTGGGTCTCGCATTTGCGGGTGGTGCACTGGTGCCACGGGGGGTGGGGGCAGGGAGGGGAGAGAAGGCTCAGTGGGAGCCACGCTGCCCCCATTTCAGTATTTTGTTCTTTGGTTGGCATTTTTTTGTTGCTTGGTTTCTGGTTTTGGAGAATTTTCATTTTTCGGTATCGTGTTTGGAAACTAACACACAGAATGCTGTATTGTGTGTATGCTGCTTTTTGTTTCTGCCTCGGCAGTCCCCGAGGTGGTTTTCCTGTTTTTGCCGGTCCCCAGCTGTGGGAAGGTCAAAACCCACTGCCCAAGACCTCTCTTCTGGTCAGTCAGCTGCACTCTCGGACCCTTCTCACGCTTAACGCTTGGATATTTCACCCCGGCGTGCATTACTTGCTGTGCCTACTGAACTGCGCTTGTTTCTGCACCCGCCTCGTCTTCCTTCACACTTGGAGAGGTACTGCTGCAGAACCACCCACTTTGTGGCAGGACCCTGCCCTGTACTTTGTGGGGCATATTGTTAAAATTTACTGCCCAATAGTTGGAGCTCCGAGCAATTTACAATAGCACATTAAAATACAATATAACATGTATCATGTTAAAAAATCATAAAACTTACAACCTAAAACTAAATTTAAAGCAGATTGAAAAAATACAATTAAATGCAATTAAAAATCAAGTTCTGTTCAGTCCCTAGCAAGCCCCAGTAGACTAGCTGAATGCCCCACATTAGAGGACAATCTTGCCTGGCAAAAATACGGCAAAGTTGGCCCCAGGCAAGCGTCCGTGGGGAGTTTGCGCCACAAGTGCCTCCATTTTGCCACTGCCCAAGCCTCCCTTTGGGGGCAGGCCCCAGAACTTGACCCCAGAGTCCAGTTAAATGCAGGCTGGGAGAGCTTGTGGCTGGATTGCTCCTGGTTCATTCCTCTTCTGCTGCTTTACTGCCAGCATTAAGTGGGACAAATGGAAAGTTGGCACCTTGTGTCCAGTAAAGCGAAAGGAGCTGGGTGGAACCAGGCCAGGCAGGTCTGCATGCTAGAAACAGCAGGGAGCACGCTTCGTAGGGCGCCAGATTCCATGCTGGATTCGGCTCTTGCGGGGGAGGGTGCAGGCCAGCGATGCTTGCTTTCCATTTCCACACTTTCCCATGACCTCACAGAGCCGCAGCTGCTCTCCTCCGCCTGGTGCAGGGGAGGTCCTGAATCCTCAGTGCTGATTTTGCCACTCTTGGGGGAGGTTGCCTCTCCCTCAACAGGCTCCATGGGTCATTTTTGGTAAATGGAACTGAAGTGAGTCAGGAGGAGCCTCGCCGGCGGGAAGTGGCCCACCCACTCCCTTCTCTTGGTGACGTGACGCTCAGCCCTTCTTTGGTGGCTTTTTGTGTCAGTGAGTCTGGCTTAACTGGGGATGTTAGCGATTCTTCGGTGGGCTCGCTCTTGAGGGCAATGGCAAGCCCACTGCTGGACCAGAGCGGCCTTCTCCCACAAAGGAGTGGGAGGCTGCCCCGCCCCACGGCGCCCTCTGCAGCTGGGCAGGCGATGCATTCCTGCCTTCCCACTGGAAGCCTTGGCACTGGCGAGCGAGGACCTCCGTCTGTGTTGCTGGTCCCCTTCCTGGATGGTCTGCTGAGGCTGCTGCTTCCTGTTTCCAGCCTCTCTGGCAGTCACTGGTGTGTACAGCTGTGCAGCCTGTTGTGTAACGCAGACCGTGGATGTCGATGGCTTCCAGATGCTGCTGGGAGCCCAGGCTGTGGGAAAAGAGATGCTGTGTTGCACGGAACAGCTTTGTTTGCCAGTTGGACAGCTTGCTGGCGATTGGGTCTTGCCTCTTGAGCGCACAAGCTGCCCGGCCTGCCCCCCAGCCCCAAACTCGGAACAAGAACCTGGGCCAGGAAAATGCGCAGGGTTGTCTCCGTCCTCCCTCTGCCTCTTGGCACTTGCTGCCTCCCACCCTTCCCAGCCACGTTTCCTTCCACAGCTCAGAGTGGGATGGGGCAGGCAGGACCAGTGGCCCTGGAGGGCGCGCACCCTGTGCTGCCACCCCTTCCATGTAGCCGGGAGCTGCTCGAAGTGCCTCGTGTTGTCGCCTGCTTGGCTCTTTTGGGGGCCAAAGCTGAGCAGGCAGGCACTGGCCCTGAGCAGGTCGGGCGGAAGCGGCCGATAGCTGGAGAGAACACGTTCATCCACTGCAGCTGAGCAGCAGCGCTGCTGAATCCAGGCTGGGCCACATCTGCTCTGCCAGCCCCCTGGCAGAAGCGGCTAGCCGGTCATCACTTGGGAAGCTTGCTGGCCAGGCAGGAAGGCGTGCGTGCGTGCTTGCTTTCATTCGTTCGTTCGTTCGTTCGTTCGTTTTGTATGCTGTCCCCTTGCTATATAGCCTCGGGACGGCTCACATAAATAAATATAATGCCAATACAGTTAAAACTCAGAAACATCCTGGCTGCACAATTAAAACCTATAAATATTAAAACGTTAAAATATTGTTTGAATAAAAAGGTCTTAGCCTGGCGCCGAAAAACAAATAACGATGGCACCAGGTGGACCTCTCTGGGGAGTGCATTCCACAGCTGGGGCGCCACCGCAGAGAAGGCCCTCCTCCGGGTACTTTGCCTCCTGATGTCTTTCACAGAGGGCTCCCAGAGGAGGGCCTCTGCTGCCGATCTCAAGGGGCGGGAGGGCAAATACGGAAGCAGGCGTTCCGATAGGTATCCACACAACTTGTCAGGAAAGGCTTGAGAGGATGTCCCTTCATTGCGGAACCAGAGCTGGAGCTGCAGCAGCAGCCGCACTGCAAGGGGCCTTCAGCAGACATGCGGGATGAACAGGGCTCTGGGTTTGCAGAGGAGACGGACTGCTCAGGCCACCCTTCACAGATGCATCACCTCAACGCTCCATCGCTCCAGAGCTGACACCTCCTTCCGGAAGACTCTCTGCAGATAGGCTGCTCCTCTGGGATCCTGTTCTCCCGCACCATCGTTATCTACAGCTTTGTCCCAGGAAGAGCTTGGCTAAGATATTATATCGTCGATTTCGGGGCATCTGCCTATCCCGGCCCTTGTCACGGGTCAGCCGCATCCTGACCTTGGAGAAGGCCTCTACCCCTCTTGCTGCGAGCATCCATCCTCCACCGTTTCTCCAGGATAATGGGCAGTGCTCCTGAGAGTGCTTCTGCCAGATCCTTTGTGGCTCCAGGAGATCGGAGCACATGCGACCGAATTCGCTGAGCTGTGCCCTCCTGCTCGGTCCGTATTTCCCCCACAAGCAGCGGGAAGTTGCCCCGCGCAGAGCAGGGCGTGTGGCGCTGCCCTGTTCCTCCGACAGCCCTGGCCAGCGCAGGGCAGCGCATCTCGGGGCCCAGCCTCCTGGCAGGCAGGGGCGTGCCAAGGCGGGTGCCAGAGGCGGCGCCCAGCTCCGGAACGTGCGTCCAGGTCCTGCCCCCTCGCGGCCCCGACACCTCTCTTTGTCGGCGGCGCATTGTCTTCCCGGCAGCGCGGCCTCCTGGCCGGGCCGGGGGAGGGACGGCCCGCCCCGCGCTCCTCCTCCCTTGGCTGGGGCGGAGGGGCCCGGGCGGAGCGAGTCGGGCCCGGGCGGAGCGAGTCGGGCCGGGCCGGCGAAGCGGCGGGCGAAGGCTGGCTGCGTTCGGAGGGACGCGCCGAGCGGCGGGAGGAAGCCGGCGCGGGCGCCTCGTCGGATCTCCAGCAGGTAAGCCGGGCGCGGCGGCGAG